GACATTCCGGAAACAGGTATTCAGGGTCAGTGTGTGGCTGGAGAATTCAGAGATTTACTCCTATCATAAGCTAGGGTTCTGAAGGCTGATCAAACCAGAGAGCTGCCTCTTGCAGCTAGTTGGAGGCTTTGGTTTCTGCACAGTTAGGTGGATGTAAAGGTATAAAGAGAAGCTTTTGTTAGTAGGGTGAACACCACACTCCCTACTAGGAAGGGGAGGAAATTTGGTATGCAAGGATTTCATTTGCTGGCACTTTGAAAGTTTCATGGTCATCTTTCTTGGCCTTCTAAAAAAAAAAAAGGGTATCAAAAGGTACTTATATGGCCCCATACTGAGGTGTCTGAACACCCTACAGTCTAATACATTTATACTCAACACCCCTATGAGCTAGGGAACTACTATCCCCCCTTATGCAGATGGGGAACCGAGGTACAACATGTCTTGCTTAAGTCATACAGGAAATCTGTGGTGGAGCAGAGAATTGAAGCCAGATCTCCCAATTCCAAGTCTAACCCCTAGACTGCCCTGCCTTTCATGATTTTCTGTTCAGTATCTAAACAGCAGTAGTTAGGGTGGACCGACTCTTGTAGCAGGAAGAAGAGCCTGCTGAACCAGCCTCAGTGTAGCATGTAACAGAGCAAGCAAGTTTGGCAGATGAATCATCACAGTGGGATGCAACACAAATATTGCGTCATGCTGCTGGCTTAGAACAGTTCTGCAATATGCAAACCCAATTGGACAGGATAGGAAGGAGCTGAGAGACTTTAGGGTAGATTCTTCATTGCCCTGCACTATACATTTACAGCCATTTACCGCTGCACAGAGCAAGGGCGACGTAGGAGTGAATTGCTGCTAGATCAGAACAGGTGCAAGTCACTACACATTGTCCAGAGCAGCAGAGAATCTGGCCCTTCATAGGCAACACCCCAAAAGGAACTGAGCTAACTTCATTGCCCTGTAGTTCCTGGCTGAACGCCCCTCCTTCAGGAGTGCATTTCTTTCCCTTCCTGTTGGGGAAAAACTGGTAGTGAGTTAAGCGCTCATGAAAAGGTTCCAGTCTATTTGGTCTGTGGAGTCTCAAGCCTACTATTCACTTGCACCGCACTGTACCGTCTGGTCAGTGGCAGGACTGTAAGGGTTACTTCTCCCCTTTTTTATCACTTGCTCTTATGTGAAAATAATGTTGATGGGCCCAACACTTTCTGCAGAAGGAGATTCCAATAGCTGATGAAAAACACAATACATACTACTTTTTTAAAATAAAAGGATACAAACATCCCTAAACTTTCACAAATGGAGCATTTACCAAAGCATAGCAAAGGCTTCTTGCAGAGAGATTCATGAACAACCACATAACAAAGATGCTACAAAGTCAAGGTGACTAACAGCTTAGTAGAGCAGCACAACAAATCCTGGAGGAAACTTGTACCTGGGAGGAAGAACCAGCGTGATTATTTACTTCAGCCTCCAAATGCAAAGGGCAGTTGTTCCAGGGTGGTCTTACTCTTGAGAGGAATTATTCCCTTCTTCCAAAGCAGGAGCACAACAGGCACCAAAGCAGCTTAGTAGAGCTTGAGTTTTAAATCTAAAGAAGTGCCACAAACAAACAGTCTCCAAACGCCTGCCTGCTCCCACCTGCTCTGCTTTTCCACAAGCTGACCACTGCAGGTGCTGCCTTTTATTAATCATCTACAGCCAAGCACTCACCCTTTGTGGTCTGAAAGCTCTGCTCCACAGCAAGCTTCCCCTGGCCACACTCCCCTTCCAAACTAGCTCACCCCTGACTGAGAGGGACCGTCTCTAGGGCTGAGGGGCTTCATGGGGCTATTCAGTTTTTGGCCTCTCTGCTGACAGCACCAGCTATGATGGGTCATGTGCCTGTGCTGGGGTCCACTAGAGATACGGAGAGCACCCTCTGCTTGTTTCACATACGCTACTAGCCATCAGCTAGTAGTGACTTTTGGTCCCTGACCTAGGCTAGACTCAAACAAGTGACCTAGAGGCAAAAGGCTCCTTTCCCCATGAACAAGGAAAGCACGTTCCTTAGTGCTTGACTCTTACACTATTTCTAGTCTGTCCCCTCAGGAGCTTGCCCCGTATCTAATACACAGTGACAAGCTGCTAGGGGATCCTGACACTTGCAAGTGTCTTCCTTGTTTTTTTTTTAACCTTTACACGCACTGTTCTCCAGACATAGCCTACAAGGAACATTAGCTGGCCATTGGCATCAAAGATGGTAATAGATAAACCAGGTTTCTCCTCTTCTGTGAGGCTCTCCATCCTCTGTCTTGAGAGGCCTGGCTGAGATTTTTTTTTTCCCCAAAGGGTTTGTTCACCAGCTGCTTCATCATCTCCAGCTTTTGTCCCCCTGGAGACTGCAGCTGTGGGTGATTTTATGTTGTGGCACAAGGGCAGCCACAGTAATAGTTGGAGGGTTTTCCCCCTTATCTTTGTGAAGGTATCTTTGTGAAAGTATCTTCTTCCACAAGCCAAAACACCAAGCCTGTCTTCATTCCTTTCAAAGGGGAGATTAGTGCGGCCACTTGGACAGCAAGTGAGAGCAAATGACATCTAGCCAGCCAGCAAAGGAACACTTCAGAGCTGCTCTCCTGCAGTGAGAGATTTATGGTCAGAGAAGTCTGGTTTTGCTCATCACCTAATTGAAACTAGGGTTTTAAAAAACCATCAAGGCTGCAAAAGTGGACTGCGGGCAAAAGACAGCGCATTGACTTTGGTATGCAGCTTCAAACGAGCTAACAGCATTAATCAACAATAACATAAAGTGGTGACTTTTAAGTAACAACACAGTCTTATGGGGCATGAAGGAATCTCCAGATGTCAAAGAGAAAAATCTACTGCTTTTAGCCTCAAAACTACCCCTCAAATACTCCCAGTGGAATGGCTCAATAAATCTGCCATTGTTCTGAGAATGAAGGATGCTCCTGAAATGAATTCACTAGTAATGAACCCTCCCCACCCTCCATCCTTTAAAAACCATAATAAACTTTATAGCCATAGACAGACAGTGCACCACAAGGAATAGCATAGAATCTCCTTTTCAAACCACTAATTTGCTCAACATTGAATGCGGTTGTTCTGTAACAGAGATGAACTAATGGGTTCAGGAAACCCTTCTCCACACTCTACTCACCTTCATCCAGTTCTAGAGCAGACCTCAGATAATGCGTTCAGATGAGGAATGTTCCAGTAAAAATCCTACCCGCCATCCCACCTACCTTCTCTCTATTCCTCTGAGTCCCAGCCTCTCTTACCTGGATGGCAGGTGGTCTTGGGTTAGGGAAGCTATGTCAGATTCTTCAGTGGCTTGCTTCCCTTTCTCAGTGATCTTTGGAGTCTAAAACCCTGTCTTGGAACGACTCCCGCAGTAGGTGACATTAATTGTCCCCTCGGTTCTTTCATTCATGGCTCCTCTGTTGAGATGTCCAGCAAAGGTGCCAGTTAGAATGATGTCTCTTCTGTAATGCAAACCGCTGTCGACTGGGAACTGGATAAGCCCCAACAGTTCATTATCATGATTCCTGTAAAGGGCACCTTTTGCCTACCTTGGACTATTCATTTGAGTTTTGCTTTGATCTTAGCTGAAAAATCACGTCTAAGCCGTGAATACATATATTTCTCTGATATCAAGTGCATGAGCTGCATCATGCATGATAATGAGATTTACCTTTGGTGTGGGCAAGGGGGAACGTCATTGTGGAAACACTGGCAAGGCGGATGGATTGTCACAGGCTGTTCGTCATGTTCAAGCATCCAAATACGTTCCAGCAACACCATTGCAATTAACAATCTAGTGGCATTTAACTCTGGACAGCTCATTTTCAGGAGGTGGTAACTACAAGCTGGGGATGAAGAATGGGATATAAAGACTCAGTCTGGCTGGGATGGATGGATACAGCTGACATAACTCTGTTCCATTTCTGAACATGTATACTGTTCTGTATAATTAACCTTGGACTTCTTTCCCAGCCCTATTACTCCCAGAGAGAGGGGTCTGAGGAACCAATATCAAACATATTTTCATAAACAGATTGAGCAAAGGACCCTTCCCTTGGGGGGGGGGGAGGGGAGGGGAGAGAGAATAGGCTAATCTAAGAAGGAGGGAAATCAAAGGAGAGAAGAGTGAGCTTGCACAGATGACATGACTAACCCCTTCGTCCAACTGTCTGGAGGGTTTGGAAAGATCAAGAGCTTGAGTTCTCTTTAAAGCAGAAAGCTACCTCCCTGAAAATGGGGACTCTTGGAGAACTCCAGCAGAGTGGAAGGAAAAGTTGTGAGCATTGACAAGAGCAGGCATAGCGTGATCATCGAAATTTCTCTCCATTAACAAACTCTCTAACCCCTATTGTAGTAATTTTTTGCAGTCTCTGTCCAGATGCCACACCATTAAAATGCTCCGATTTATGTCCTCTGGCTCTTTTTTCTCAGAAAAGCTTTCTCCGGTTTAAATTATTATTTGTACATATTGTGGTGGTTCATAGAAGCCCCCACCAAGATTGTTGTGCTGGGTGCTGTACAAACACATCATAAGACAGTCCCTGCCCCAAGGAGCTTGTAGTCTACATAGATCAGACAAAGATTTGGAAGGGACACACAGAGATGGGAAATCATTTGCCCTGGGTCACTGCAAGAGCCAGGAACAGAACTCAGATCTCCTGAGCCCCAGGCCAGTGGTCCATCCACTAGACCATGCTGCTGCATCTTCACATAGTGAGTGTGAGCACATTCCTGAGAATGCAGGAATCTTTGCTCTCTGCAGGAGCAGAGAAAGCTGATGGGGTGGGTGGAGGGCCCAAAGAACATGGAGGCTTGGATGATGCTTTGGCCTTGTCCGAAAAGATGGCAGATGGTAGTGACATAAAGGGAGCACTCAGCCCTTCCTGTTCATAATTATTAGCAGGTCTGGGCCCTTGACACCCAGTGTTACACTGGGAATATTCATTTATTTACAGTGATTTTCTCCCCTCCACTCTCCCGCCTCCAAAAAAAAAAAAATATCCTTTGGCCGCATTTAAGTTACAGGAGATACCCACAAAGGAATTCTCCATTTCAACCCCTCCTGTTGCATGGCTGTGATTCAAAACTGGTGGACTGAAAGTGCTGGCAAGTCAGTAACCGTTCCCAAGCGACAGTTCGTCACATTAGTTTATTGTTTTTTCTTTACATGGCAGACAGAGTCTTCAGTTTTCCAGAGCAATGTTCAGAACTCAAGCCCCACCAGGTAACACCACGTCTTCACATTGTTTATACTGAATTTTTTATTTTAAAAACAAGTGTCATGAGAGTGCTGCAGAGCTACCAGCGTCAGCCTTGCAAATTTGTACATGCAAAACCTGGGTCTCCCCCCCCCCCCTGAATTTTCATGAGAATTTGTGATGGGGGGGGGGAGGAGATCAAAGGCAAAATTTCACAAGTTTCACCAGCAGGCATGGTGGAGGGTTGTTGCAAAATTGAAATTCTGCCCTGGAAAACAATGGTGAATTTTCCTGAATATGCACAGGTGAAAATGTCCCCATCATCATATAGAAATGCCATGAGTTTGAATCAATTATTGTGCAAAGATGGACTCCCTGCCTCCAAAGAATCTTCTTTTGTTGTCTAAGGGGAAAACAGTGAAAAGTTTACTGCAATAATGGGACATTTCTTGTTGATGGTGTGGATATTTTTCTACCACGGCTCAGACTGTAATGGATTTTTAGTGTGGACTGATGCAAGGTCAAACTGGGTGCTGCAATCTTTAGTGGAGTAACAAGATACAAAACTTTAAAAATGGAGCATTTACAATAGGGACGCAAAGACGTGCTTTTAAAATTGTAAATACATATTTACAGGTTTGCATGATAAACCAAAACTGCTCTGGGAAAAGTATTCATATAATCACAGCATTTACACACTTCTCTCCTTGAGTTTCTTGAACAGTATAATTAATATCACTCTAAAAAAAACCAAAGAAAAGTAAACTGCACAAAATTCAGCTTTAGTAATGTCACAGGTCTACCTTAAAGGCACTAAGCCCAGCAGAATCCAAGCCAGAATCTCCATTTCTAAAAACACCTTGCCCACTCCTAGATACTGAGGGAGGTCTCAAAAGAGTGGGCTATTTTAAGTATAGTTCAGGCCGCAACATGAGGCATCTCTTAAGCAAGAGCCCCTGAGTGACAAGTGAAAATACATCACTTAGTAAACATGCTCATTGTCTAACAACATTGCACTGGAAACTTTAGGGATACCTCAAAGTGGTGCTGGTATTTTTCTCCGATTTGTTGCTACAATGTTAGGTGCTGTCAAAACATACAGGAAGATCATCCGTTTTCTAAAGAACTCTAGTGCAGGTGTTGCCATACAAATTCTGGATCATGAAAAAAGGAAGAAACAAGGACAGGTAAATGAAATAAAAGAGAATTTGCTGCATCCAGTACAGCAGAGTTTATTGTGGAGACCTTTCGATAAAGATAAATGACTGTAACTTGGAGATTAGGTACAATGGGGCAGGCTCCTAGACATATCTAAGACCCATAAATTGCTTTATCAGTGTGCTGAGATTTTCAAAGCTGCCCAGTGGCTTTGGATATGTGGTTTACATTAATTTTTAATGGGTATTGGACATCCAAATTCATTAAGCAACTACAAAGGTGAAGTTTGTGGAAGCAAGCAGAGGTCACCTCTGCCATATGATAGACCTGCGTGAACGAGGCCCTTTATGAGCAAGAGAGAATATATCTCTTTGTTCAGCCTTCTCACTAACTGCAACACCCTGAAACTTCGTCTTTACAGGCTGTGGTCAATCATCATGGCTCCTTCCTCTCTAAGCCTAACCAAACTAGATTGGCTCTAATGGAGGGTCACAATTACTAATCTCCCTATTTGTGGGAAGATGTTGCTTGGTACCATGCACTGTGATGGGCATTTTAGGAATGCTTGTAAAACTCAATCATGGCAGCAATGAATGGGTGCCGAGCTAGTGCCAAATATAACGGAAGCTTTTCGCAAAATGAACGCTTGTCCCATTAGAAAACTGGACTGACACCATCACTGCATTTCAGAGACCACTTAACAGGTGAGATTCCAGGAGATGCGAGTCCTACAATCTTCTAAAAGCAGTGGCATCACAACCTTTGCAATGTTCCAACATCTTAAAGGTCATGATACACGCTCAAATTGGGGTACCCACAGATTTGGGATATGAACACCTCAGCAAACTCTCCACTCTGGGTGGATTTTCAATGGGTTGCTCAGTTCTATAAAGTGTACAGTACAGTTAGAAGATAAAATGATGTAACAGTCTTTTGAAGATGTAATTGCATAGTATGTCCAACCCCTCTACGTTCCAACAGAAAGAGAAGAATTGCCCAAATCTACCTGCCCTCCCAATGTGGTCACAACAATCTACAATTCTCTCTGAATGTTTTCCCATTCCACTGGCTCTGGATGAGTGGACTTCATACTGCAGGGGATGCGATAGAATCATCCTTTCACCGGCCTCCATAGTTCATGACTCGCTCTCTGCAAAGAAGGACAATGACAACAAGATGCCGTTGCTTCTGGCACAGAATACCACTGGCCCCCCTTTTTCTCCTGATGAACTCCTGGTCTCACTCGAACTGGGAATGAACAGAACAGATTATGATATCTAAGGATTACTTTGCCTCATCTTCTCAGTTCAGCACTGTCCTGTGCCTGCAAATACACATAATCACCTGCAATAACTGTGGTCTCCATAGAAAAGTCACCATTTACCCAAAGTGGTATGTGAAAAGTCACAGTCTCCCCTATTCTAACAACAAGAAATAACAGGGGAAACTCAGATATCACTGTGCAATCAATGTTAAATTTTTACTATTCGCCACCATTTCTGATAGTGCAGGAGGCAGTTTGGTTTTCTTATCGTACTAACTTTTTCCCATAATACTAATTTTCTCTATTTCATTTACAGTTTAGTTTAACCAAATATAAACCTATTTCAGGGTTCAAGACCCTGCACCCATCCAGGATCTCGACCCTGTAGGCATTTGCACATGTACTTAACTTTACTCACATAACTAGTAATAATAATATCTCGCTCTTATGTAGCGCTTTTCATCAGTAGATCCCAAAAGAGGTCAGTATCATTATCCCTATTTTGCATGCGGTGAACCTGAGGCACAGAGACGAGGTGGCTTGCCCAAGGTCACCCAGCAGGCCAGTGACCGAGCCAGGACTAAAATCCAGGTCTTGAGTCCCAGTCTAGTGTTCTATCCACTACGTGCTATCCAACAGCACTTTAGCAGCTTTCAACAAACTTTTTATTACTGAGTTGGGCTTCTTCAACCACCCGGATTAGTCAAAACTTCCTCTGATGTACGGAGAAGTGAGTCATTTCAGGATCACTAGGGGGACTGGGCCAGATCCTCAGCTGAGGAAAATTTATGTCACTCCCTTGATTACAATGAAGCTATGCTGATTTACACCAGCTGAGGATCTGAGCTAATGTATTTAAAATGCAACATGGCACTATTTTTTGTATTAAAAATGTCTCCTACCAAAGAAGCAAATAGTGAAGTCAAGGCTATTAAATATGTAAATTAATATGCAAATAAGGGGTCTAGTTCTTAAGCTACTGGCACATTGCCAAGGCATCCCCTGGTGGTTTGGGTGCAGTTGCCTTGATATTAAGAATAGAGTGACATTAAGCCTTTGGCCCTTTCGTCCCATAGGATCTCAAAGCACTTCTGCGAACAGCAGAAAAGAAATGCGGTCCTGTCTGAGGTGGAGGGTGGCAAGCAAATGGCACACAGGTCCCTGCCCAGCAGCACAGGAGGAATGGAGAATCGGAGCACTTATAAGAATTGCCAAGGGCTCAAAGATCCACCTGTAGGAGTGGCACAGTGAGCTTTAAGGCCTCTTCCACAAGGCTCTCACATAGGGCGTGGAGGGGAACTCTGTTCTCCTGTTGAAGGAGAATGGAGCGCTAAATCAACCCTGCCAGGACTTGAACCTATGGGTCCAACGGGTCTAGGTGTTTCAGAACAAGAGGAAAGGATGGTCTTATGGGCCTGGCTAAAGCAGGGGACTAGGGCTCACATATAGAGTTCTATTCCCAGCTCTCTTTGTGACCTGGGGCAAGTCATTGAGCCTGTGTGCCTCAGTTTCCCCACCAGTAACTGAGGACAATAGTTAGCTGCCTCACAGGGGTTCTCTGAGGTGAGCTAACATTTGTAAAGTGCTTTGGCTACAGAAATGCAAAGCATCACAAAGCGCTGTGTGGTCATCAGTACCAGGGGCGACTGCCTTGCTGTACCTGGTTTGATGTGCAGAAGAGTCTATTCCTTGAAGAAGTGGGCCGTCGTGCAGCTGGATCTCTTGCATTGCCTGGTGCTGGTGTTCTGAGAAGAGGAGGGGGGACATCTAGAGGCCGTGCGGAGTCTGTAACTGCATAAAGAGGCAGGAGAAACTCTCTCTCACACACGCACACACATCATATTTGGGATAAAAGCAGAGGCAGGCCACATATCCAACACACAATCTCAGTTCAAACATTTACCCCAACCTACTTGCCAGGCTGGTGGCCCAGTATCATATGAAAGCCGGGGTACCTTTCCCAGGCTTGATCCAAAGCTCACTGGGAGACCTTCCATTGGCTCCAACTGACTTTGTACAAAGGCTCTAGACCCAGGTGCTGCCAAAGTTGCTCATGAAAACGAGGGGGTGTCTTGCATTGCTCTGCAGTGACCCTTTAGTCAATTTAGGTGAAAACTCAGGAGAAAGTTGAGTGTGTTCTCCCTGACCCCCTTCTCTCCCCCCCCCCACCGCCTCCCCGATGTCCAGGCTCAGAGAACTATGTGGAGAACCTTCCAGGAAGGACAAACTGGACATCAATAGTCAACAGGGCTGTGACTGCAGCGGGCCCCCTGTGCAGAATAGCTGGCAGAGTCAGGGTCTATTTTGTCATGTCGCCATGCCATGTCATTGTTTTGCATCTGTGTTGATGCAAAACGCATTTCACATTACATAAAAAAACACATACACTAACAGGGTAAGGTGTTCAAAAAGGCCAGGTGCTCAACTACACTCCTAAGCTGCATGCCCCATCACCACGAAAGCTCTTGCAAATCAGATAATTGCACACACAAATAACCAAAAGCAGAGTGGTTAACTCTTATGGTTTTATTGCAAGGCTTTTGATATTTGCTTTTTACCTTCAGCCCCAGGTCCCCGGATCCTGTGACTACGTGAGAATCTCATCTTTCATCTCAAAATAAAAATTACGTTTCTAGTTTTCAGGGTTGGTGATAAAAGCTACTGACAAGGCGAAAAGAGCATGTAAAAGGCTAAAAGACCAAAAGGCAAGGATAAAAAGAATCACACATCTATTAGTTTTTGAAAAAGCATTCCGGCTTAAAAGAAATATCTCATGATTTTTGAACACTTGTGGTTGCCAGTACCACAGCACCGGTTATTTGCACAAATCTGTACAGTGTACACAGAGCTGTGGTAACGACCCTGCATATTGCACATGCAGAGCCTGATCAAGACTAACACTATGTTATTATCAACTTACATTCCAACAGAGGGACCTCTTTCAAAAATCTATTACTACAATACTCAAGAAGCTAGTTTTTGCTCCAGCATATTTTTACAGTTCAAAGGAAATCTTTGAAAAGGGACCTTTGACCTTAATGTTAGTCCCCAGCTGTAGGTTTTGTAAAATGTTTCACAAAACCTGGTATCAAATTAGAACTGTTTTTTTAAAAATTGTACAATGGTTCATGAAATTTAATCAATTTTTTAAAAGTGTGAATTTGTCATCAACATTTGGAAAATAGAAAAATGTCAATCAGGCCTAATAAAAATATTTTCTGGGATGTTTAAAATAATCCATGAAAATAGTTGTTTAGTTTGGATTTGAGTCTGCAGTGTTTGCATATGTAACATTGTAGCACTGGGCAAGTGCATGAGAACCAGAAAGTGAAAACGGCCAGTAGAAAAAAAGCCAATTTTCATTGCCCAAGATGATGAATGCTCCCAAATGAAATAATGGGAATGGTAACAAGTAAATAAAAGTTGACCTTTCTTTTGATTTTAGCAATTAAAATGTTACTGGTAACACAAGGAAGAAAATAAGTTTGGCTTGGATTTTTTTTAAGCAGAATGTGTCCACCTAAATTTTGATTAATGTCAAGGATGCCTTGCAACTTTCAAAAGTCCTTTATAAAATTAATAATAATACACATTCATGTATTAGGCAAATGCCCAAAGACCTTTGTGCACCTTAACATATAGAATGAAAAATAAAATATAGGCAGGCAACATGCCTGAAAAGATTCACCTCTTACCCCTCCTCCCAAAAACTCAACCCCCAACATTAAAGTAGATCCAAATTTTTTTTTTTTTGCATTTCAACTAGTTCTTACAGTAGATCCCTTACCTTGTGTTTTGGGGTGTGAGAGACTGAGAATGTTTTTTAAAGAGCCAGATTGAGGCTGAAAATTAACTCCTGGATATTTTATTGACCACTTTGTCTCGTGTTCTCTACTTAAAAATCACTGAAGCCATATGGTTAACTATGGACTGTTTCCTGTGCCAAAGGCTAGTGAGTGCTGTCTGTTGTAAGAGTGCCTGTGGGAAATCTGTTGCTGTGCCATTATGTTGGCAGTCCTCAAACTCCATCAGACTCCTGCGTGGTGCATCTTCACTAGGAAAGAAGGTGTGTTCTTGCCTCAAATTAGCTAGTATGTGGTAACTCAAGAGGTCAAATGCTAATGGAGACAAGGCATTTTGTAGATCTAGTATGTGTTAGCAAGTTGAGGTAAACCTTAGACTTCCCCATAGTCCTTACCTTGACCTGCTAATGTGAAAACTACAACCTGCTTCGTCTTCATGAGGATTTTACTCAAGAACACACCTTTCTTCCCAGTGAACACGAGGTCTAAGAGACTCTACATCAGGTCAATAGATCCTGATGGGGATGTGTGCATGTGCAAAGAATCCACATATCTCCTGCTGCTGCAAGGGGAGAAGCTTGTGAAAATTATCTTCCACCCTCCACCATGGACTGTTCTGCAGCTCCTGGTCCTCTCCTACTCTCCTGGGATGGTGGGGGAATGGGGTCAAGCTACGTGCCACAGAGGGCCCGACTTGTGGTGTGGAGGAACTGCTGGACTCTTTGGTAACCTCACCCATGCACAAGTGGCATGGAGTGTGTGTGTGTGTGTGTGGGGGGGGAGATTATCTTCACCCCAGTTGGTCCTGGTTTCAATTCATGGCTTATATCTTCATTTCAGAGCTGTCAGTCGAGATCAGACATGCACTGGCTGTCCATCCCGGCTTAGGAGGGAGTGTCCTGTCCAGGGGATATTTACTACTGGCCCTCCCTCCCCCATTTTGTCCCTGCAAAGCTTTCCTCACTCAGTAGGGCTCAATGCTGTCCAAAGGGACAGTGCACGAGTTGTTAATTGTGTCGATCGCGGAAATCTTCCGCTGAGAAGCACCAAGCAGTAGTATCATTGTTACTTTGCTGTGTTGTGCAATAGCAAGTTCCAACACCACCACTTACGTGGGGGTTTTCAGAAAGTCAGCCAGCTCAGAATAAAGGAAAGACGCCCCATCCTGTGTGAGAGGGGTGGAAAAGTATTCACTGAATCACGACCTTAAAGCTTGAAAGCGGTAGCAGCAAAGATGTGTTAAAAACCAAGGAAATGAACGTGTTTTAAACACCACAGTAGGCCAGGGCCTTTTCACAAAGGCACAAACACTTGGAACGTTCTCAGTGCAAGCTAAACATCATTTATGGCGATGCACGCCAGCCTGTGCGATGGGACACGCGCGGACCTCTACTCATCAGAGCAGCAGCCAGCTCCCATCCTTTGCAGCGAGAGCCCTGTTCAGAGAAGTACATAAAAATCCCCCACATGGTGGTGCCATTGCCTTCCCAGCCAGAGAGAAGGCGTAGCATTGTCTGGAGCCGGGCAAGGGATGGCAGAACGAACGGACACTGATGTAGCAACTTAATGCATCAGGAATGAACTCAATAATGACAAACAGTCGCAGGGGATCACACCCCGAACACCACATGAAGCCCATCTGGGACAGATGTAGGATGCATTGGACCTGTCTACAACAGCAACACAAGGCTCTTCTGTTTCGCTTGCATTTTTGCAATATTTATGGAGCTTGTTATGCCCACAAAGTGTTCTGAATGGGTCAGGATGGAGCCCTGCACTGTTATGAACAATTTTAATGATTGGATCCCACAGAAAAACACGCCAGGTCTCTATTGACCTTAAATTAACCTCTTGGGAGGCTCATGAGCTTGCTTCTTACAATAGTTGCAGCTCTGCTTTTGGGACAGGTGGATCAGCGAGCAGGTGAGAGATATTGCCAAGAAGTCAATAAGCCACTGCATGCACATTAAAGCATTTGAAAATCCTGCAACTGCACTAGCTCTAAAACCAGTTATCACTCTGTCAGCCGGCATGGACACTGGACACCTGCAGATGTTCTCCCACCATTGCCACTTCCCCACCGGGGACAATAATGACAATGAGGCACTGTAACCAAACCCCTGTGCCTCACTGATGCTAGCGCCCCCACCATGGCTAGCAGGGGGGCAGAGCAAAGGGGAGAGAATTTCAGTCCAGTGGTGGTGATGCCCAGTTATGATGCAGCCTCAGTAGCGTATCAAGTCCACTCCTGCACCACAGTTCAAGAGATACTTCTCACTGCAGAACTGGGCTGACCTCAGAAAAAAATAAGGAGTGTACAGGGGGAAGGCAAAGAGAAGTATCACTAAGTGCTTGTCTGAACAAGGTTTTTGTACTGATCTAACTAAATTGGTTAAAAAAAAAAAGATTTAGTTAAATCAGTGCAGCGGCTTGGATTGCCAACCCTCCAGGAATTAAAGATTAATCTTTAATTCCTAAAGATTATGTCATAATGAAACCTCCAGGAACACGTCCAACCAAAATTGACAAACCTACAACCTCCTAGAATAGACACGGTTACACTGACATAAAGGGAGTTATATTGGTCTGGCTTGTTTTGGTAAAATTCCTAATTGATTTAAACTAAGTTATAATAAGACACAAACTAAAATAGGAGTGTGCACACGGGGGGAAGAGGGGGTTTGCACCATATTAACTAAACTGGTTTGAGTTAAACCAGGGCAACTTGCTCATGTAGACAAGACCTAAGGCTCCTCCCTGTAAGTTAGGGACACAGCTCCAGTATGCTGGACGGCTGTGCCGTTGATTTTAGAGAGAGCTACAGCAGTAGAATCTACCGCAATGCTCTGAAATGTAGAGATGAAGGGTTTGAAAGCAATCGACTTTCAGTGAAAAGTAACATTTTCCAAAACCTCTAATGTCTACTGCTCCAACCTCCCCAAACCCTTGAACACTGGGTTGGAAGCAGAAGGATGTGTAATTTAGCTA